CCCACCCGGTGTCCCTGGCGTGGGGTGGGGCGTCATTGGCTAAACTCAGACTCTGCTCGGCCACGACTCAAGCATCCCGGCGACGGGCCTCCGCTCCGCTCCGTTAGAAGTTAGCCTTTATTGGAATTTAGACCACAACTTAGCAATTTCACTACTCCTATGATTCTTGCGGAAGTTATATTGTATTTCATAGAGAGGAAATTTTAGTGTACGTAGCTTCCTCGATTTGCTGCAAAATCCTACCAAAACTTGTGTTTGTTTTCACAAGTGGACAATCACTGAACAATTCCAAAACGGTCTTGGGTGTTTCCCTAACAGATCATGGTGATGTCTACGTGTACATGGCAATCACTTAACTTCATCATATTCATCAGTGCAAGAACATGTTAGCAAACAGACCCCTACGGAAGGCTTCATACATAGTGGGCAAGCATGACGAGATAGAGGCGACACGATACAGGTGCAGTGGTGCTGATGTAGACGAGGTTGGACTGCGAAGGATGTTGTGGAGGAGAAAAAAATAGTTGAGGGAAAAAGAATCGGCGGTTTGCCTCCCAATTAGTGGCGGCATGTCTAAGAACTCATGGCTGTGGCCTGAATCCTAGATCTGGTTGTGCATCTTAGTCGGCGAAGGTGCCGAAGTTGCAGCAGTTGCTTCGAAGTGGACTTCAAGTATCTCAATCGGACACTAAACCACAAATATCCCATCACATGTATGGTCTTTAGGCACTTTTTTTTCCTTCCAATCGGATACTTTGTAATTAGCGTTGGATGGCTCTCCTGTATCTTGTCCACGGACGACGTCCGGACATAAAAACATACATATACCTAAGGAATTTGCGGGTCGGTGTTAGAGATGTCCTATGTGTCATTCGATCAAGCATCGTCTTTTCCCCCAAGCCGTGTGGATCCCTCTCTCGGCGGATTTTGGTGACTTCTCGACTGCATGCATCGACATTACTCTCATGTTCTAGCAGCGGCATCTTCAGTGCATCCTAGGGTTTGGATCTAACAACTCACAAAAGCAACCACGACTAAAATGACGATTGGGTGGGGTGTCCAACGGTTCGCACCAAGATTTTGTTCCTTGTTTGTCATTTGTTAAGGCCTAATATCATTAGCATAGCCAACTCAATAATCCAGGGTGGTCCAATAGTAGAACTTTCATTTGTGTTTAATTGCTCATGTTAGATTTTACTTATTTTTTGCTATAATATGGCTATAGTAAAATCATGGACCACCCTGGCCCCCCTAGCTATATCTATACCTACTAATAAAAGAAATAGGTATTCTTAGTCCGTCATGTTATTTTATAGAAAAAACCCTAATGTTTCTGACATTAAACCCGCGGTACATATCAAATGTTTTTTAAAACACTCGTATCTTCTAAACCGTAACTTCAAATTTAACATGTTATATATGGAATTTGATTAGAAAAATATATAAAATCTGAATATAATGTTATTTTACCTGTTAATAATTTAAAAATATTAACCATCTTTCTTTCATATCATTACTGATTCGGATTGTGGATGAACCTCTCAACAAGGATTGGAGACAAAATTGAAGATCACTTCCCCGTTTTTTTGTATGTATTAAATCTACATGTAAACTGTGTTTAAATAGAAGAAATGTGAAATCTTGAACTTGCGCTTTTGTAGGCGTAGACCATCTTTGTTTGGGCCGTAACTAAAAATACTCAGATTATAGATCATTTTTTGTAAATTAAGAGCGTGTGATATTCTTTACTCCCGTTGCAACCCACGGACCCTTTGCTAGTCCTACTGGTTGAAGGAGGAACAGCTCGTTCGTCAGCGTGCAACGGCACGTACGTCTCTGCAACCTGCATAACCAATTCCTCGGCCGTTACACACACACCGTGTTAAATGAGCTGTGTCTTGATCACCATGCACGAGCATTATCTCCTACGTACTCCAAGTGGCAAATATCTAGCTGTTGCTCAAGCGGCGAGGATTGGATCAGTCGGTCTCCGGCTCTGGGCTATATAACCCCACGTGCAACCTCCATATATCTAGATCGAGCTAAAACCGGTAAGGCACGACCGCACGAGGCCACGAGCTAGCCGGCCAGCCACACTTTTGGGAGAGCACGCAAAGGCAACAGTCTTCGCGAAGCAACTGAAAGGGGCCGATCGACCCATGGCGAACCTTGGATGGTTAGCCTCCCTCGCCGCCGCCGCCGTCGTTGTGGTGGCGCTCGGCTCGCCGTTCGCCGCCGCCCAGCTGAGGCCGGGGTACTACGCCAGCACCTGCCCCAACCTGGAGACCATTGTCCGGAACTCCGTCAGGCAGTCCATGGCCCAGTCCCAAATCTCGGCGGCCGCCACGCTCAGGCTCTTCTTCCATGACTGCGCCGTCAGGGTACACAACCTCTGATCACTGGCCGATTGAGCTCGCCCTTGTAGAGTTACATGTCGACTTGATGAGTTGATGACGTAGGTATCTATAACTTGTTGTGCACGTACGTTGCAGGGCTGTGACGCGTCGATCATGATCGTGAACTCGAACGGCGACGACGAGTGGGGGAGCCCGGACGACCAGTCGCTGAAGCCGCAGGGCTTCCAGACGGTCCTGGACGCCAAGGCCGCCGTCGACAAGGACCCGCAGTGCCGTTACAAGGTGTCCTGCGCCGACATACTCGCCCTCGCCGCTCGAGAGTCCGTCGTCCAGAGCGGAGGGCCATACTACCAGGTGGAGCTGGGCAGGTACGACGGGAAGGTCTCGACGAAGAGCAGCGTGGTGCTGCCGCACGTCGACTTCAACCTCGACAAGCTCAACGCCTTCTTCTCAGGCCTGGGACTCTCCCAGACCGACATGATCGCACTCTCAGGTAACTGAAGTAGTACGTACTCATCAACTTCTCCTGAACGCCATTTGCAACACACGCCGACCTGTTGAAATCTCGCTGGCTGCACGATCGCATCACTTGCGCGCGAATCCAGGTGGCCACACCATGGGCGCGGCGGACTGCAGCTTCTTCCAGTCCAGGATCGGCACCGACCCGACCATGGACTCAGGCTTCGCGGCGCAGCTCCGGGGCACCTGCACCAGCAGCCAGAGCTCCGCGTTCCTCGACCCGACGCCGTTGGGATTCGACAACTCCTACTACAAAAACCTGCAGGGCGGCAGAGGCCTCCTGGGCTCCGACCAGGTGCTGTACACGGACCCAAGGTCACGCGGCACCGTCAACTACTACGCGTCCAACCAGGGTACCTTCTTCTACGACTTCACCGTCGCCATGACCAAGCTCGGCAGGGTCGGGGTCAAGACGGCGGCCGACGGCGAGATACGCCGCGACTGCCGGTACACGAATTAGTTACAGAGTCCCCGCTGGCTGGTTGCTGATGCTCACACAGTTTTAAAAAAACTGTCCATGACGCAACTGTAATAAGATCGATCAAGTTGTTATACATGCATGTGGCTTTGATTCTTGGAGCCCATGATGTCTTCAACTAATCCACTGTAAGATGTCCTTGGCTGATCGAATTGTGATGCCTTGCCGTTGGATATGTTGTCTTGATAGATCATGTGAGGATGCAGGTGTCTTTTGTGACAACGAGTCAGACTCCAGCACAAAACAGCATGATGATGGCTCTAGCCTCGATCTAGCTAGGTCGCGACTGGCACCAAAAGCAAATCATATCAGACCTAACTTCATCAACGTCAAATGCCCATGATCTGCACTTGCATGCTCCAACGACCTTTGAAATGGAGCACTATGATTAGTGCAATTGAGTGCACCATGCGTTAACTAGCAATTCCCACAGGGTACGTAACAGCACCATCTGCGTGAGCATGTTCAGGTTGCCCATTGCCCGGCCGTCCGCACGTTTTTTATGATTTTAGATCGATCTTCCTTTGTACTACTCCTATGATCCTTCCGGATGTTTTTGTGTAGTATTTCAGAAATAGTGGATTTCAGTATACGTGGCTCCAGCAATTTGCAAAAACCTACCAAAACTTGTGTTTGCTTTCACAAATACATGGTCACTTAACCACCCACCAGAAAGATCTTGCCTGTTTTCCTAGCAGATCTTGGTGATGTCTAAGGTGACATGGCAATCACTCAAACTGTGCATCAGTGCATGAGCATAAAACCAACAAACCCCTATGGGTAGATTGATACATAGTGGGAAGCATGACAAGCTGGAGGTGGCGCGATACCGGATGTGGTAGTGCTGATGGAGACGAGGTTGGATTGAGATGGATGCGGTGCTAGAGGAAAAGAAAATAGAATGTTCCATAGGGTGTAGATCTAAAGATTTGAAAAATAACTCCGCAAAAAAATATTCAGAAAATAAATCATGGTTAAGAAAGACGATGGGGTCCTAGATGTGGCGGTTTCGTTCCCCGTTGGTGGCAGCTCTATGAGCACATGTGTGCGCGGCCTGGATATAGGTCTGCATTTTAGTCTCCCGGGCGGTAGCGCCTAGGTTGTAGGAATTTCATCGAATGGGCTTCGGGTATCAGGTCAAGGATCGTCGTCCACTCCTACTCCTTCCTGGAGTGGCGGAGATGGTAAGGGCTACAAGGGTTTGTCATTAGACTCAATATCGCCTTCTTCTTTGAATTGTGGATCCTTCAGGATATACATCGACGACGCTTTCGGTAGAGACCGATGACTTCTCAACTCTCTACTTGAATATTACTCTCCTATTCAATGGCTAGGGCGGAGACTCGTTTATGCCCCAGACCCGGTATGTGGCTAGGCTGGAGCTTCTGGCTTTTGATGATAGGTTTAGATGAGTAGACCGGGTATGTGGCCCAGGTAGCACCCCTTCATCATATGGATAGGAGTAGTGGCATATGTTGCCAAGATGGCGGATTCAGGCATATTGTTGTAATACTTTGTAAGGTCCTCGAGAATAATCAATAAAGTGGCCGTATGCATCTCCCAGATGCAGAGGCCGGGGGGCATTCTCCTTTTCTAAAAAAATAGATGTGGCAGTTTCTACGCGCCATCAACATATGTACGAGACGCAAAAGACGAGGATGTTTCTGAGGATCGGAGTTGTTTTTGAAGGAACTTTCATGTTATGTAATTTCAGCACTCGTTCTTTTAGGAAAATAAACAAATATGATATAGGCCATGTGACATATTCCTCCATGAGATTGTCGAAAAACACTCTTGCCCCGCTTATACAACCATCAGACAATACAAGTGTCGAGTAGCACAAAAGAAAGATGCATGTTTGGGCCACCAACACTACTAGGGAAAACCCTAATAGTAGTGCGGATTTTAAGGCTATCAGCAGCGCGGGCAACCGCGCTACCAATAAGGTGCGACAGCTAACTGTTAGTAGTAGCGCGGTCTGTACCCGCGCTACTACTATGGACTGTATCAGCAGCGCGTTTCCGGAACGCGCTACTACTAATTAGCTGTAGCGATTTCCTGGCCCCGCGCTACTGTTATATCTTTCATCATTTCCCCCGGGCTTTCTACCCCGTTTCAGCTTCAATAAACAGCAGTTTCCAGATACTAGGTACTACTAGATATTAATTTCATAAAGCATTGTAGGTACTAGGTAGTACTCCCTCGGTTCCAAATTTGAACTAAAACCACGACGAGTAATTTGGAACGGAGGGAGTACTAGATAATAATTTCATATATACTCAACATGCATCCTCAAGCAGTACAAGATGATATCGACGACGATCATCATATGTAGTTCTGGATAATATCAACGACGATCATCATATGTAGTTCTACATGATATCGACGACGATCATCATATGTAGTTCTAGATGATATAGCCACACACACACATATGTAGTTCTAGATGATATCGACGACGATCATCATCCTCAAGCCTGGGCGGTGGGTGTTCCTGATAGTAATTAGGATGGCCTGTCCAACACAAAGATTCTTGCCAACGAGGAATCTCTTCCACCCAACCGAGTTTAAGTGTGTGCGGCCGTCTGTGTCCATGCGGTAAGTACATGTGGTGATGGAGCCCCTTGCGGTAAGGCGTAGTCCAGCTAAGCCTTCTTCATCAGGCTCGATACCACAACTCACAGATAGGTTCTTTGGCAATTTCTGAATAAGAAAAATATATCAATTAATAAATAGCCTCGCACATACTCTTGCAAATATATTTCTATTAAGTCTAGTTTCTACACTATCAAAAGACACAGTACTACGCATTTGTACTAACTAATCATGAATTCTACTAATAAGTATATATGGATTATCTACACTATTAATAGTTCCTTGGATTCTACACTAATAAGAGCATGTGATCAGACTCTACACTAAAGCATATCATCGATTAGATTCCACAAAGCATATCATTGGGCTCTACATTAAACATATCATCGAATTCACTAAGCATATCATCGATTAATTTGCATTTGTAAGTATAACAATAAAGCATCTATATATAGAGAGTGGCGTTTTGGCTCCTAGGTGCATATGCACCCATTGTCGAAATCCAAATTCCTAGAAGTTGAAAAATTCGAAACAAAAATCCCGCGTGTATATCCGGACATTTTATGTGCGTTCACAAGGTTTCGGTGAAAAACGACGTTTTTTGTGGCTTGTGTAAAAAAGACAATTTCTGATGCTTCATTCTAACTATTCACGAGGCATTTCTTTATCTTTTTTACACAAGCCACAAAAAACGTCGTTTTTCACTGAAACCTTGTGAACGCACATAAAATGTCCGGATATACACGCGGGATTTTTGTTTCGAATTTTTTAACTTCTCGGAATTTGGATTTCGACAATGGGTGCATATGCACCTAGGAGCCAAAGGCAATTACCGCTATATATATATATATATATATATATATCATCAAATTACTACAGACAGTACGTATAACATACCATTTCATGCCGATCGACCATGGTACTTGTCAGGTGGGTCACGAATGGCACCCCGACAAAGTCATCACATGGCGGAATTATGTCCCATAGGTTGCACACCTCCTCCTCGCTCAGCCTCATTCTTTGAGCTATGATGGCTTCATGAAGTGGGTTCTCATCATCTTCATCGAGTGGGTCCTCATTATCTTCGTCATCTTCATCATCTTCGTCATCTTCCACCAGGTTGAGATAAATGATAGCCAGCTTGGGTCTTTCTGCTCTGAAGGAGAAGCTGATCAACTCACCACCAGTAAGATGCATGTGGGCAAGGAAACGGGCCCATCCATCTCCTCCAATCTGCGACATATTGCGTCCTTTCTCGACCTTCATAGTGTACGGCCCCCCAGGAGCCTCAAATGTCACAGTGTCTCCTGTCAGCTTGTTGAATTTCAACCTCACATTGCATGGGACGATCTGTGTAAAAAAAGTAAAATGACACAATGCAGCAACGCCAACACTAAAAATAAAATATTTGTTACATTTCATCTAATTTCTTACCGCCGCATGACGAAAACTCGGCTGGAAGTAGATGCCGAACAGCTTGCCAGTTGCAAGGCAGCTGGCGCACCTTGACTTGCACAGTCGACATAGTGGTGGTGGTGGTGGCGGCGCCATTTTCTAAATCAACTAAATCAACTGGTCTACTAAATCAAAATGTTCTAAATCAACTAAATCAACTAGCCTACTAAATCAACTAGCCTACTAAATCAACTAGCCTACTAAATCAACTAAATCAAGATGTTCTAAATCAACTACATACTAAATCAACTAAATCAAAATGTTTTAAATCAACTAGCCTACTAAATCAAAATGTAGCAGGGAGGAGGGGTTGTGGATGGAGGAGGGAGGAGGGAGAAGGAGGGGCGACTCGAGGAGGGAGAAGAGAGTAGGATGGAGGAGGAAGACGGGGCGAGGAGGGGCCAGCCGGCGGCGAGTGGAGGGAGGACTGAGGAGGAAGGCGGAGCGAGGAGGGACCGGCTAGCGGCGACTAAAGGGAGGACGGAGGAGGAGGCCGGTACCGAGTCCAGTGAGGAAGAGGAGGTGGCGGCGGCGCATATAGGAGGAGGGGCGACGGGGAAGGACCGGCGTGGGGGTTGAGGGGGAGATCGAGTGAGTGTGAGTGTGAGTGGATCAGATAGGTCGGAGAGGGGGGAGATGGAATGACTTGGCAGTAGCGCGCTATAGCAAAAGGCGCTACTGCTAAACAACCTAGCAGTAGCTCCTTTCATGTCGTGGTATTCTCACGGGGGGCTTGCGAGTCGACAGATGCCACAAGGGCTTAGTGTGAGGGTAAGACTGCTGCTGATAGGACCGGGAGCGGGTATGCAAGTAGCACACGCTAGTTTACCAAGGTTCGGGGCTCTCCGGAGAGATAACACCCCTACTCCTGCATGTCTGAGTATATCTGATATATCTGATACAAAGTGCTCCTGGAGCTGTATCTGAGATCGGTGCCAAGGGCATCTGATCTCGTATATGCATGCGTATGGCCGGCTCTAGTGGCCAAGTATGGCCATGGCTTGTGGCCGTGAGTGGCCTTGTGGCCAAATGAGTGTGGCGTGCCTGAGTGGATGGATGGATGTGTGCCCCTTTTATAGTGTGGGCTAGCTTACTTCCTAAGCTATGTAGTGGCATGGACAAGTGGGCATGGGGGTATGGTGTGGATGTCATGCTTGTCTCCTAGGTCACTTCATGAATAATGCCCAGGGACAAGTGACACTGTACATGATAGTGTCGTGGTACAGCTGTCTCGTCCGAGGTATGGCCGTCTCGTCGGTGTCGGGTCGGGCTGCAGTCGGCAGCCGGCTGGTC